TAAGGTCCACATATACAAGTTTGTTTGTACCACTCACTACCGGTGAGGTCCACAGTTACCAGTTTATGTTTGTACCACTCACTACCGGTGAGGTCCACAGTTACCAGTTTATGTTTGTACCACTCACTACCGGTGAGGTCCACAATTACCAACCTATGTTTGTATTTTGTTTTTGTCTGTTACAACACTAAGTATAAAAAATGACCAGAATATTTGTGTGAAATTACTCACTTTAAATAGATAAAGGACCCCCCAGCAGTAATTAATTAACTGTTTATATATATCTTGTATAGGTGAAGCCTAAATCTGTAATTGAACTAAACACTACAAGTCAGTCATTCAAATAGTGTAGAAAAATGTGTTTAATAGGCCGATGACCCCATCAATAATTCCAGGGTGGAATACGTGTTATTAAAACGTCAATTTAGGAGCCATATAATCATGAAATATTCTTTACCGAGGGTACAGAGGTCATGTCGTGACACAGATAACACGGCAGTTTTGTACGTATAGGTTTGTAAATGTTTTCCATTTGAAAGGAATATTAGTTTGTTTTTATTTGGAACCTCATGCAATAGCTACTGGAAATAGTTGTCCATTTGTCACGAGATTTTAACTGTAAACTTGTTAACCATATCTGGTGAAAAATGTCTTCTATACACGACATTTTAACTGTGTTAACTTGTTAACCATATCTGGTGAAAAATGTCTTCTATACACGAGATTTCAACTGTTAACTTGTTAACCATATCTGGTGAAAAAATGTCTTCTATATACGAGATTTTAACCGTGTTAACTTGTTAACCATATCTGGTGAAAAATGTCTTCTATACACGAGATTTTAACTGTTAACTTGTTAACCATATCTGGTGAAAAATGTCTTCTATACACGATATTTCAACTGTTAACTTGTTAACCATATCTGGTTAAAAATGTCTTCTATACACGAGATTTTAACTGTTAACTTGTTAACCATATCTGGTGAAAAATGTCTTCTATATACGATATTTGAACAGCGTTACGTTATTAACCATATCTGGTGAAACAAGTCTCCTGAACACGAGACTGTAACAGTGTTAACCATATCTGGTGAAACAAGTCTCCTGAACACGATACTGTAAGAGTGTTAACCATATCTGGTGAAACAAGTCTCCTGAACA